CAGAAGCTGAGGTACCTTAATTATCAGTGTTCCTTATATCTTCCCACTCTATCATCTTAGCTCATGGCTTCCATCCTTGAGATCAGCTCATGCTCCAAGATGGCTGCATTCCATAAAGGAGGAAAGAGAAAGGAACAAAGACCAAAAGACTTGCTCCCGTATGAGTTAGCTATCTTTAAACAGCTTCCATTGAAGACCCATCAAGCACTTCCACTCAACACTTCCACTTATATATATCTGGCCGGAATATATGGCCAATCTTAGTGTCAAAGCAGGCTAGGGCATATTATCTCTTAGCTGGATGCTTTGCAGTCCAGAATAAAATCATAATTCTATTATGAATGAAAAAAGGAAGAATGAATATTGAGTGCTAAAGGGAGTCTTGATAACCATTTATGAGATAGTTATAGAAATCTACAAAAGAATAACACCAGTGATATGGGGAAGTCACACTTGGAAGTTATTTAAGGTAGAATCGATAGAACTTGGTGATTGATTGGATATGGGGGATAAAGAAGATGGAAGAGTCAGTCAATAACTAAATTGAAGTGACAAAGTAGATGGAGTTATGGTTCTCAGATAGAGAAGAACATGAGGAGAAACTGATCACATGGAGAAGATGACCCGATAAATTTTACCTTTGTTAAAATTCAGTTGTATGTAGAGAAATCAAAAAGGAAATACCAAGAGGAAGTTGCATATTCAGGACTGGAATACAGCAAATTTATCTGGGCTAGAAGTATGTAGGCATATGAGCATCTACCATTATAGATAGTAACTGAAATAATTGGAATTGGTAAGTTTTCCAGGAAAGAATGTGAATAATAAGAAAAGAATAAAGATTAGGACTGTGCAGGTGAGAAACAACTACCTTTAAAAGTGGGGAGAGAAAGAAGAGCTAATAAAGATACAGAGAAGTAGAAGGAGAGCCAGAAGAGTTGGGATCATTCAAGCCAAACAAAGAGTTCAAGCAGAAGGAAATGGTTAATGGCATTAAATGCTACTGAGAAGCCAAGTAAAATAAGGATTAAAAAGAGATTTTCCTAAAAATTAGTCTCAGTGAAGTTCTCCATGGTCTTGAAGAGAGCAGTTTTGTGGAGTTTTATTGAAGAAACAAGAAAATAGTGAGATAAGTGTACAAAAGATGAGGAAATGGAGATAGTATGTGTAGACCAATTTTTCAAAAAGATTGTTGTGAAGAGGAAAAGGGGATGATAGCTGGAGGAAGATATGGAACCAAAGGGGAAGAAAATCAATACAGTGAGGTTCTCCAAGGCTACTGCACACGTGGACTGATGATTTTTAAGCAGGAGGAAAGACATCTAATTCATTGTATTAGGAAGGAAAGAAGACTTAGAAGCAGCTTCATTTATTTGTAGATAACAGGAATTTAAGAGAGTTCCAATCTGATGGCTTTATTTTCTCTGTGCAGTAGCGGTCCAGCTCATCTGCTGAGAGAAAGGGGAGAGGGTGAAGAATTGTGGGGCAGTTTGAAATGCCTCTGGAGAATCTGTGAGGCTATTGACCAACAAGGCATAAGAGATGCTGCTAACAGTCAAGGGCGTGACTACGTTCGAAGACCAGGGAAGGACTGTGATGCTCTTCTCCTTCTTAAGATATACACGTTTCCATATTTCTTGTTAGTTTTTTTCATAGATATTTCGTATGTTTATTTCTATTAGGAGTTTTTTCCATAATATTTTCTAACTAGCTATTGCCAACATAAAATAAATCTATTTCAATTTTCTGTATTAATTTCCATTCCTCCATGCTAAAATTGATCTGGAGTTGTTCAGATAAAAAATAGCTCTGCAAATAACGACCATTTCATCCCTCCTTTCTAAAGAATATTTCTCATTCTTTTCCCTTTTCTACTCAGTGACTACAACTCTGAATAAGGATGAATAACAAAGGTTACAGAAATAATCCTTTTCTTGTTCCTGACTTTAATGGGAATGCCTCTGGTGTTTCACCATTTATTAGGATTCATTTATTCCATAAATATTTATTGAGCGCCTATCATGTGTAGTCACTATGTCAGGTACTGGTTATACTGTGTGAAATAATTTGACACTGTTTTGACCTCATATAATTTAAAGTCTAGTGGAGAGATAAAGATTTTAAGAGGTTATTAAGATATGGTCTCATAATTGTAACTTAAGATAAGGGTTATGGGTGAAGAAAAAGGGGGCATGCTATGAGAGAAAAAAATGTAAGCCCTAATTTAGATCGAAGGGTCAAATAATTCCTCCCTGAAAAAGTGACATTTAAGTTAAAACTTAAAGATAGAGTCAGAATTATAGAAAAATCATGTCAAGGTGTCAAGGTAGGAAGGAGTAAAAGGAATGCGGAGTTAATTAATGCAAGAACATTAAATGCAATTACAGATGGAGGTTACTTTGTACAATGCATTGTACTTTGTACAATGTGGAGCATATACTAGGTGCTTAATAAATGGTAACTCCATATATAATTTTAGATGATAATTTGAAACTTTTCTTGTATTAAGAAAGTAAAGTTTTTGATTAGTTCACTAAGATGAGTTTTTAAAATTAGGAACAAATTAAGAATTTTATTCGTAGGCCTTAGAGTTGTATCTTGAGACCATATGCTTTTTCTTTCTTTACCTATGAGTGTGATAAATTATGTGAACTATTCTTTCATTCCAAGAATAAATCTCACTGGGGCATGATGTTTTTTTAAATATAATTTTTCATTTAATTGGCTTCTAACTTATTAGAGATTTTGTAAATATATTAATAAATATGTTCTTAAAAGACTATTTTTGGTTATTATATATTTGGGTTCATTTGGTATAAGTAATTGTCAGATATATCACTACCAAAGTTATAATAACTTCATAAAATCAACTGGAATTTTTCTTTTTTTTTTGATATTTAGAAACAGCCTCACTAGCGTAGGAATTTTTCAAATAACATTCCCGTGAAGCCATTTAAGCTTTATGACTTGGAGAGCACACATTTATTCGGCAATTTTGTCAGTTATTTCTGGTTATATGTCTATTAAAGTCTTGTCTCTTTTTGTGTCAGTTTTGGTAATTCATGTGCTCCTAGTTTAGGTGACCATTAGTTTCCCACTGGACTGTTTACAATTGATTTCTAGCTGGTCTTACCCAATTCCAGTTCATTCTTTTTACTTTATAGTTAGTGAGATCTCTCAAAATTGTTATTCTAATTAATTTATTTCTCTGAAAACATTTCAACAACTCTCTATTTCTCTCAAGATAAAATACAAACTCCTTACACAAGAAATGAGTCATAAGTGTCTTCATTATTTCTAAAACTACGTCAATTATCTTTCTCTCTTTTCATTTCAATTCCCAGAAAGGCTAAGTTCACCCTACCCCTGGGCATCTGCCAGCGTTATTTTTTCTAGCTAAAATTCCCTTCTCCTTCTGCTTTGCAGATTCTGGATAACTCTCCGTGTCCTTCAGGTTTCTGCTCAGACGTAACCTTCTCCAGGAAGCCCACTCCAACTCCCAAGATTAAATTTTGCGTCCCTCTTCTAGGGGACCTGTACCTATGGAAGGACAGTAAGAGCATTTGGTCACCAGTTTACTTATCTGTCTCACACAAAGGACTACAAGCAAATTGAGAGGGGAAACATTGCTTCTTTCATCTTTGTGTTTTCAATGCCTGGAATCAAGGCTTGCACATCGAAAGTAATCGAGAAATATTCGTTGAATGTTGAATGAATGACAGGTGTGATAACTTCTAATTACACTGAAATTTTTAGCAACTCCCATTTGTTCAGCCATTCCCAAAGTATTCAACTTAGTTACCAGAAAAATAACACATTTTTTTCTTTTCCCACTCTCATATCATCAGCTTATATAATATTTAATTTAATTACGTAATTACAAAAACAAGCACAACTGGCATAAAGAAATTTAAGGATAAAATCTTGACTCACTAGGCACATAGCTGAACCCATGAGAGCGGAAGTAATTTACTAGCCGTAAGCACAGAGATGGGCAACATTTGTTCATCTGTAAGTTAAGTAGGAGTCTCTTAAAGTTTCTACAGGATATAGAGACAGCTTACAATTTAGTAATAGTTAACAACCTGTTGAAGTTTATTTGTAAGTTTGATGAGTTGCATCCTAAAACATATTTTGGCAGACAAGATAAGAAATGATTAATGCTTGCAAGATTGGGCAAAAAGTCCTCATTAACATGGAAGTTGAACTAATGCTACATTATTGTAGCCTGAATTTTAGGTCCGGGGAGCTGGGGAATATATAATACAGAAAGGAGAAGGAATCACATAAAGAGGACTTTCCTTTTTCTTGGTACTGGAAAGGCTCTGGGAAAAAATCCACAGTACATTAAGAGTTTATTTGTGAGGCCAGATGCTTCTGCACATTTCTTCTATCTCCTATTCAATCTCCATCTGGGGATTCCAAAATGTTCCATTTTCTAAAATTATTTGGAAGGTCTTGATGTTTAGAATGGATTTCTTTTTCCTGCTGTTTGTTTCTTCACTTATTGGCAAAGCACCATTAACCATTCCACTGATACACGTCAAGTAAACAAATTTTTATACCTAAACTGGGTATAAGTATAAAACTTCTGTTCTGGGAGATATTTGTTCTATACATTTTGGGACTAATCTGTGAAATCATTCAGTCCATGACTGCTAGTAGGGTCATGCACATTTTATTTGGAAGGTTTAGAACTCAAGTCTTCTGCCTAAGGGTTAAGGAAAATTGGAGGGACATGATTTATACAGTTTTATTAACCCTTCTATCTCTGCAACATTATTTTATTATTAAAAATTATTAATTTATTAGATAGTCCTAGTCAATGTCTCCATTCTCACACATCGCTCTAAGACAATTTATGTCCCATTAAATGTCTGCTGAAAAACAATGCTGCCATGCAGATATCCACCAGGGAACTCTCTGTTGGCCAGAGCATACTGAGTCAGTTTGTTGTCGCTATTGAACTGGACAATTACCTAGAGCTGGACTTTGAGTTAGTGCCAAGGCCAATAAAAGCTACATTTGTGGACGAGCCAAAACTAAAGAGCCTTTTCAAGAAAACAGGTTGATACCAAGGCAGACATGCAGAGAGAAGCAGAGATGGAACGGGGCTACAGAGAGAAAGAGGCAGTGGCTGCCTGCTGACTTTTCGGTCAACTGAAACCCAGGTACATAGCAATCACTTTATTTCCTCGAGATTCTCTAATATCCTTTCAAAAAATTCGATAGTTTACGTAGTTTAAGAGGGTGTATGTCTCTTGCAACCAAATGATTCCTGGCTCGTTCTTTGTACCAAATTGAGAATTTGCAAACAAATAAGTAACCTTTAAGATGGAAAATGTGACTCATTGAAGAGACAGGGTGAAGAATAAGAAAAACATCGCCCCCACCCCACCTCCACTCCTGCTTCTGATATCTTTTTCTTTATAAATTATAGGACCTAAGCTCCATACTAGGTAGATATCAAAGTCAGAAGTTTGTCTTTGATGCTTTCATCCTTCCTTTTATCCATTCTCTAACTCACAGACGGACTATCTTCTCTTTTTGATACTAGGACCTCATGCTCTCATCTTTCGTCCTCTTATACCCAATTTCAGAAAAGTATCTGATACATATATCGACACAAAGGAAAAATAATTTTAAAGCTATCTTTTCCTCTCTCATTATCCATGCATACATGTCAGAGAATTTCCCTTTTAGCAGTGTTCAAAATGTTAAGACACAAAATAAATTCCGAATTGGGAAATTTCAGCTGGTAAAAGGACTTGTATTTCGGGGGCAACCTGAACATGTTTGAAATCACACTGCAGAGATGGCTGTCTCCTCTGTTTCCGTGTTAAGGCTTGCTCTGATTTGGATATGTCCGCGACAGCGTGTGGAATGTGAATACCAGAGAAGAGACCACCCTGCCTGTTTGGATCCGTGTCTGTATCTATTTTAACAACTATGGTGCCTGGGAGTTCAGTATTATGAGTTCAACTCTAGTTTGGGGTTCTGCATACATTTCAAGGGTAAAGGGCAAAGTACTTGTAGTCTTTTCTCTGTGCTTCATAAGACTCTTTGAAATATAACATTTTCTCTTAAGTGGACGTGTCTTCAAAATGAGCCAGCTAGTTGACAGATAGCTTGCATATGCTTACGGAGAAGTGCATTCATAACATACAACTATTCAAAAACGCCAGAATTGTTTTCTCAAAATTCAATTTTGCATAGTTCTAGTAATTAACTCACTGTCAAACTCTGCATAAATTTGAATTGCTTCTGTCTGCAATTTCTAAGCTTCTAAAAAGCTTGAATGGAGATCAAACAAAAACTCTCAACCTCACTAATGCCAATGACAATATAAGATCAACTCCAAATTTTTTCCATCATGTAATCAATAAAAGCGTATGAATTTGTAAAGAGTCCTGTCAAATCTCTAGACACATATATATCCTCAGACTTGAGGTAGCCTGTAAGGTCATAGGAAAAAAATCTGAGGACATTTAGTTTTCTGTTAAACTCATCCAGACTCAGCTTAAACCTGGTATACTTAGATTCGTTTATTTTAAGGTATCATGTCACAATTTCCTGCTACTGAATAATGATGCCAAGGAAGTTTTAGTAGAATCTTCATTCTGGAAGAGGGTGCATCGTAGAGTCACAGACACCCAAGTCGGGTAATTAGAGATGTGGACTTTCTTTCAAGCCAGATTTTTGACTCAAGATAGAATCATACATTTTTTCCCTAAATGTTTCCATTTGAGAAATAGGTTAATACATTAGCAATGTCCAGGACTCTCCAAGGAACTGCAATGCTGGGTGATCTGATGAGTGCAAATCTTAACTCAAAGTCAGGGACCTTGTGTTTGTCCCTAACACTACTGTCTTCGTTTGTTTGGGATGCTATAACAAGATTCCATAGACTGAGTAACTTATAAACAGCAAATTTATTGCTCACAGTTCTGGAGGCTGGGAAGTTCAAGATCAAGACGCTGGCAGATTCTGTGTCTGGTGAGGCCCACTCTCCGGTTCATAGATGGCTGTCTTTTCACTGTGTCCTCAGATGATGGAAGGGGTGAGGGATCTCTCTGGGGCTTCTTTTATAAGAGGACTAATCCTATTTGTGAGGGGTCCACCCTCATGACCTAATCACGTCTCAAAGGCCCCATCTCCAAATACCATCACATTGCAGATTAGGTTTCAACCTATGAAATTGGGGGGAACACATTCAGTCTATAGCAACTACTGTTACATTGTTTTCTAACATTAGACCATTAATCCATTTGTTTATCCAACTAATTTTATTTTTTGTATTTTGATTAGATGCCAGGCTCTGTGCTGGGAAGAAGAAATTCAGAGATGAGTAAGTTACAGTCTAAAGAGTTTATGGCTGTCAAACAGTATTGAATTACAGTGATAGAAATACACAAAGATATTATGCAAACCCCAAGAAGTGGCACCCAACGATTTTAGTGGAAGACCATGTGATGGGAGAGGAGGAGAAGGAAAGATGAATTGAGGAGGTGAAGATCCTTGGGTTGAATCTTTAAGGATAACTGGGTGGCAACCGGACCCAGAAGGAGCAAAGGAATCCATAAAATAAATAGCAGAGGACAAGCTTTTGATGTTCCGAAGTTAAGGTGAGGCAAGAGCGCTGAGGTGAGGGGTTGCTGAGATTGGAGAGAAGGGGAGGGGCCTAATAATGGAGGACCACAGGGGCTGGCCCCGTGGCCGAGTGGTTAAGTTCGCGCGCTCCGCTGCAGGCGGCCCAGTGTTTCGTTAGTTCGAATCCTGGGCGCGGACATGGCACTGCTCATCAGACCACGCTGAGGCAGCGTCCCACATGCCACAGCTAGAAGAACCCACAACGAAGAATACACAACTATGTACCGGGGGGGCTTTGGGGAGAAAAAGGAAAAAAATAAAATCTTTAAAAAAAAAAAAATAAATAAAAAATAATGGAGGACCACAGGTGCCATCAAGTCCCATAAAATCCCTAATCCAAGTATCTTTTACCAGATTATGGGGAGATTAACCATTTCTTAATCATCTTTCTAGCATCCAAACACAGCACAGACCTACCACTGAGTAAATGCTTATGTGTTTCCTGGTATGATCCTTCACCTCCAGCTTTCAGCTCTTCTTATTTTGTTGTTGTTATAAAAAAGAGGCATTTTTACTTTTTAGATGATGTCACAGATTTTAATTCATCATTTAAAATTGGCTGAAAATTTTCAGTACATAAAATAACGTCAAACATAACTTTATCCATTGTTTCATGTCTTATAGAGTGAAAAATATTCAAGGCAACACAAATGGATTAACAGAAATGAACAACTTCCACTTGTTTAGTATCTAGGCACTAAACCCTGTGCTGCCATTTGGCATGTTTATTATTTAATACATGTAACAACCTCATCAAATAGGTTCCATTATCCTCACTTGACATATGGGAAAGTGAGTGTCAGAGATGCAAAATGACCTGCCCGTGTTCAGTTAACATGCACAGAGACAGGATTTGAACCTCAGTCTGCTGGCTTCAAACCTGTAGCATACCATAGCACTTCCAGCACGAGGAACAGAAATCAACAAGAAAGAGCCTCTATTTAGATTAATGCAAAGAGTTTACACCAAAAAAATGGTAGACTTTTTTCCTTCATTTGGTGATATTTGAGTTTAGATTACTAGATAGTTTCAGGAAATGTTTGACCAAAAAGTTTAACTAACACTACGTTTTATATCATGTTAATATATCAGGACCTTCTGATTTGGGATTGCTGGAAAAAAAATCTCAATAAATCACTCCAAAATCTTTTGAAAATATCTCTTGACTAAAGCTGCTTTAAACTGAGTAGAGAGAGGGAACTTTGTCTTTCCTCCTGTGGTTCTTGGAAGGCTCTGCTCTTTTTGTGGTTAGACATGCCCTTGGCATTTTTTCCCTCCAGGGAGACTGTCTGAATAGTGGCATTCAGGTTGTCAGAACTTCCTCCCTGCCTGGGACTATAAAGTGAGGGCTCATAATACACAGTTTGTTATTGGGCTCAAGTGATTATAGCAACACACCCAACGTCCATGGGAAACAGAAATGAATGGAGGAATAAGTGAAGGATCTCTCTTCAAGACAGGAAAATAATGGTAGCCAGATGAGATTAACATTTGGAGGAAAAGTTATGTAGGGCAATCGTATTGACACCTTTGGTTATTTATGTCTATGCTTTGTTTTTGGTAAGAAAAGATATAAACAACTCTAACCTCTTTGCATGGGGCTCAATATATTTCCAATTTTGAGTAATTCTTCCACAAAAATGTTTGAATAAGGAGGTGTAAAGAAAGATAAAAATCTATCTTTAATCTGCCAGTTAGACACTTTTTTCTCTTCAGTGATTTTCCCAGTATGCTAGCTAAAGAATGATTTACTTCAAAATATATATATATATATATGTATATATATATATATATTTATTCCCATTTGCCTACCCCTAAACTTTTCTATCTTTCCAAAAGGCATTCTTTTCTCTTCATCTGTTTTGCACTCTGACATTGTCAACATTCCTCTGCTGAGAAATACAGCCCCACATCAGCAGGAAGCCCACATCCACTCAGACTAATTGGAGGATGGAGGATGTGATGGTTAATTTTTTTGTGTCAACTTGATTGAGACATGGGGTGCCCAGATTAAACATTATTTCTGAGTATGTCTGTGAAGACGTTTCCAGAAGAGATTAGCATTTGAATTGGTGGACTGACTAAAGCAGTTTGCTCTCCCCAGGGTGGGTGGGCATCATCCAACCCATTGAGGGCCGGAATAGAACAAAAAGCAGAGGAAGGGAGAGTTTGCTCTCTCTACCTGAGTGCGTGAGCTGAGACCTCAGTCTTCTCCTGTGCTTGGACTAGGACTTATGCTGTTGTCATTCCTGCTTCTCAGGCCTTGGGACTTGGACTGAAATTTATATCACTGGCTTTCCTGCATGTCCAGCTTGCAGATGGCAGATCATGAGACTTCTGAGCCTCCAGAATCGCGTGAGCCAATGCCTTGTAATATATCTCATTATATATATAATGTATCCCATAAGATATATCCTGATTCTATTTCTCTGGAGAACCCTGACTAATACAGGCATGTGCACTTTTCTTGCCTTCCCAAGAATATAATCTTTTCTCTTTTCCCCAGTATTTGGTTTGAGTCTCTAGTGCACCGGCCCAAGATGGCAGACAGTCTGAGAGGCCCCTACACTCTTGAAGCTTTAAGCATTCCTTCTCCCATCCGTCTTCTTCCTCCTTTGAAAGTTCAGACTTGACTAGAAAGCAAGCCAGTTCTGTTGTCAGCTCTCTCCTTCTTTTATTCCTTCACCTTCCCTCCTGTCAAAATGTTCCCACCCTGACAACCCTCTGAGACTCCGCACATTTCTTTCCCCATCTTCATCATCAAATGCAGCTTGGATGTAATCTCATTCTCTCAAGTTTAAGAGAAGTTCATTTGTAAAATAATTCAAAATACATTATTGATGGCTGATAATAATATATTAAAATTACTTAATCTTTCTAAAGGAGTAAGTGACATGACATTTTGACAAGTGAAAGAGAAGAACCTTCTAAGAAGTAGCAGCCATTTTGCACCATAAACAATTATGTCGTCACCTCAGGAGATGGCCTCCTCTGGACCATCATGGGTTTAGTCTTGACACTCAAATACCTCAGCTCTCAAAACATTTCTCTCTGTCTCTCCTTTATGACTGAAAAGTACGCATCAACTTTTTTCATCTTGATGGAAAGTATTCAATAATGTGTGTCTGCATTGGATTTTTGTTCTTTTTCTTTTAGAGGCTGAAAAGATCAAATCACTTTTAAAGAATCTATTATCAGATAGCATCTACTAATGCCCCATAAATTTTATTTTTGCAAAAACAATGAAACATTTCAATCAAAAGTATAACCCCTAAAGTAACTAGAGGAATATGTTGCTCTTACTATGAAGGAAAGAATGAGGGATTCGGATTAAAATATGGTATTTTATCACATAACACATAATATCCCAGCATTAACTCTTGATCCAAGTGGCCCTTGTCCAATGTGTGTGTTTATATTGGCATCTCTTTTTGAATTTTTTTAATAAACAATTGACCTCTCACCATAACTTTTCTCTCAACATCTTCTAAAAGAGATATGAGCCATAATAACATTGCTTATAAAACATATGAAGAACATTCCTTTTCCTGTAACTTGGTAAGAGTCTTAGATTTATAGACAATCTTATAATTTCCAGAACATAAACTGTATATACAATATAAGGTAAGAGCTACACCAAACACTCAAATACTTGTAATATTTTCTCTCTCTTGAAAAAGGATACACTTTTTAAATTTTGTTAGAATGCCTAAAAAATCAGGGCACCTTTGATTTGAATTTATTCAACAAACTGCTCAGTTTCTGTTTTCTGTTTTATTTTGTCCTGGGTGTGTCATTGAAAAGGATAGTTTAGCACTTAACAGTAATAAAAGCACAAAAACTTTTGTCAAGCAATTTCAGGGTTTCTGATAGCAGTTTCAAGTGGTACCACAGTGCGTATATGAAATCATTGAGGGCACAGAAATTGAGAAACTAATTTATGCATCAGAGCAACAATTTACCATGTACCTAATAAGGTTCAGACCTAGGTTAGACATGTTGTTGTCTCTAATCTTCAAAATAATCCTGGAGGGTAGGAATTCTTGTTGCAACTTTACAAAAGGGGAAGCAGGCAGAGAGTAAAGCAACTGGTTTAAGGATACAGAGTTCCCAGGTTTCAGAGTAGTGATTTAAAGCTTAGTGTTTTGGCTCCCAAACCCATGTTCTTGCCATTAAACCATCCTGTCTCCTTGTGATTAAGAAAGATGTGTCCCTGAAACAGTGTGTGATTTTTCCAAAAATGGAATCTGCTTTAATTTTTATATGACGTATTTTCTGGAATCAATTTAAAAATAATGATATCTGGGATAATGGTCCAGAATCCCAATGAAACATCAAGTCTTTTCTTGGAGAAAATAGTTCTCATATAGTATATAAAGGTCTATACAAAAGGCATCATACTATACATATTGTTTCGCAACTTGATTTTTTTATTTAAAAATTGTTTTCGAGATTTGTCCATGCTGATGTCAGTAGTCTTAGTTCATTCATTTTTTTCTCCAACTTTTGTAGCTATAGCTAAATTATTCTTCAAAGTCACTGTGCCAAATTACACCTCCCAGAAGCAGTGGATGAGTATTCCCGGTTTTCCACAGTCTCGCTGTGGCTGACACTACTAGTTTTCCATCTGATACCAATTTGTCATTCTTTTCTTACTAAGAGAAGTCTGATTTTTGTTAGTGGTAACATGTTCAACTTCCTAAAGTGTATTTCCCAGCCTCCTTTGGTAACTGCAGGTGCTATGTAATATAGTGCTGGCCAAGGAGAGAGAATTAGAATCTGTTGGATGTTTCTAAAAACCTTTTTATCTGTCATATAGTTCCCAGTCCATCTTTTGCTGCTCCCTTGTTTTTGAACTGTCCTGGAGTACAGATATGAGGTTAGAGATGGAAAAGTGATCTTGAATCCATGAGGTATCACTATAAGGATGAAAGACATATAATAAAGATGATGTTACAGAGGATGTTGTTAAAAGGATCCAGGGACACTGATGGAGCTGCAGTGTTGGCTAGGGACTGCCAATCTCTGCACTTCTGGCCAATAAAAAAGTAAACCCTTATTTGGTAAAATCATTGTACAGAAATATTTATGAAGAAAAATGTATCACTCTGTTTCCATGATAGTCTCTCTTGGCAAGTGATTGATGCATTTAAAAAGATGATTATTACATTTTAGCCAGCATTTTTAGATATTTTGTATTTGAAGGTATCAGAGTATCTGATCACCATTTTTGTCAAAAAATGAAGCCTTTTTTACCTCTTTAAACTTTGAGCTTTTGATTAAATTCTGTCCTCTTCTATAGACTGATCTGCTTTCTGGTCCGTTTTGTGGAACACAATACTAAAATTTTCTGTGATTTCAGAAATTAAAAAAAGTTAGGAGGAGAAGCACTTCTGGAGCGACAACATGAGAAGCTCTGCTGACCCTCTTCCCAGTGAGACAACCATGACTGTGAAAATCATTAAAAAAAATGTTTAAGTCTCTGGAAATTGTTCTACGGGCCCACAGCAAATGGAGAAACGCTTATTGAGGAAAATCTATTAAATCTCAGCTAGAAGATTGAGAGTTTGTGTCATTTGAGTCATGACCTATTCCTCCCCAACCCCTCAAGCTCAATGTGAGAGAAGCTCTATTCTGGCTTTGTGCGCCCAAAAAGATGGAGGTTCCCTCTTCCCTCACTCGCAGTCTATGCTTACATTTTCTCTCAGAGAAGGGCAGGCCACTAGCATTCCTCATCCTCACCAGTTCTGTGTTACAGAAACTCTGTTCAGGCAGGCATTCAGGTCTGGGACTCTTTTATTCCACCAAACTCCCAATCATAGAGTGAAGGATTGCCTTCGCTTCAGTTTGCTCAAACGGACGAGATTCCACACTTGGAGAGGAAAACCAGGAAGACCAAGGGCTCCTTCCCCGACTCAGTACCCTACTGAGTCACTTCTTAGATGGTATAGCCTTGGGCATGTGCACAGTCACCCTGACACCCACCTTGCTCAGGGATGACAGAGGTTTTAGCTGGGCTGTCTGTGACTTTCTCTTTCCCTGATCTTCATGCTAAGATGCTAACTGGTCTGCCTCTAGTGTTGTCCTTCCCTAGTTGTTAAACTTTAATAAATGCTAGCTGGTTGCTCTTTTGTTCCTTGGAAAATGCCCAAGGGCATAAATAACTCCACAGTCTGAACCAACTAAAGTCAGATGTTTTGCAGGGGTAGTCTTTGAGGCCAGTCTTTGTGGCTTGATCATACCCTAGGAGAACTCTTCTTAGCTTCTCTTTCCCTGCTTCTCTTTATTAAACTACTAACTAATCTACCATTTCACTTATTTCTATCATGGAGCTACCAGCCTTCCCTTAACTGCTAACCACCAAAATCTTTTTTTTTCCTCACAGAATCCTTAAGCTTGAACTTCCCTCTCTCTGTTCCAAATAAACCAAGTCCCATTGGGATGAGCTATGGACCACTTTATGCTTACAGCCTCCCTCCCTCCCTGTGCAGAATCTATATGATGGTCTGCTTGTCTCAGAGGATATTCCTACTCTGTTGTTATGTAAAGTTTTCAACAAAAAACAGTGAGATCCGCAAAGAAACAGGAAAGTGTGAATCATATACAGGTGAAAAAACAAGCAACAGAAATTACATTTGAAATGGCCCAAATATTAGATTTAGCAAAGACTTCAAAGCAGCTATTATAACTATGTTCAAAAAACTAAAAGAAACTGTCCTTAAAGAATGAAAGACCTGATGACAATGTCTTACCAAATAGAGAATATCAATAAAGAGAGATAGAAATTATAAAAAAGAACTAAATGGAATTTTGGATGTGAAAAGTATAATAACCAATATGAAAAACAAAAAGTCACTGGAGGGGCTCAATGACAGCTTTGAATTGGCAGAAGAAGAATCAATGAACTTGAAGATAGATCAATAGAGATTATGTAATCTGAAGAACAGAGAAGAAAAGAGTGAAGAAAAATCAACAGAGCCTCAGGAAAATGTGGGATATCATTAAGTATAACAGAAGTACCAGAAAACATTTTAAAGAGAAAGGAGCAGAAAAATTATTCAAAAAAGCAATGGTTGAAGCCTCCCAAATTTGATGAAAAAATTAATCTACAAGTCCAAGAAGCTTAATAAACTCCAAGTAGAATGAACACAAAGAAATCCACATTCATATACATTATAGTCAAAAGGTTGAAAGACAAAGGCTAAAGGAAGGGAAAATAACTCACCAAGGACTTGGGATTCACCAATAAGTCCAACAGCTGACATCATCCAAAATAGAGGAGGCTGGAAGGCAGTGTGATGACATATTCAAAGTGCTGGAGGAAATATTATAAATCAAAATTCTTATGTCAAGCAA